GAGTATGTCTCCCCTCGTCCTGGCCTGAGCTGCTGCCAAACCATAGGGAGATAAAGCCTTGCTCACACACAATCCGCCCCCAGTGGTGGAAGCGTCACTGGCTGTGACTTTCTCAGAAATTCCTGTGCGAAAATCCATGTAGGCAAGCGGAGTCAGGGCAATGAACCTTATGAGCTCAAGTTCCACGGATTCCCCAAGTGCGGCTCTCTTCCGAGGAGCATCTCCCAACTCAATGATTCGTCTCCACAGGGCATTTAGCCCAGCCAGAGGGGTCGACGGAACATAGCAATGTAGACAAAGCCACCTCCAACAATCTGCAACTCCTTCTGCGTGGCACGACCTCGAATCAACAGTTCACACGCCAGCCTCACATATTTGACCACTTTGGAGCTCTTGGGAGCGCCTCCCCATCAAGCCAGGCGCCCTGAACCTCCGCCTTGACTTCCTGGGCGACGGCCTTCTTCGGATGCCTAGGCAGCCCCAAGTCCTCATAGGTTTGCCTCACTGCGAGCGTCCATGCTGATGGGGTTCCGGCCAACGTTTCAGCGAGCTTGCGGTCGACCTTACGCAACTCATCATAGTTGTCCAGATAGACCCTATACAAGTGATCTGCTGACGAAGATCCTCGATCCCGACGGAGTTCCTGATGCCCTGAGGCCAGTGCTCTCTCACCCCTAAGGGCCAGTCCGATCACCCTCCGGTGTACGTGTTGAGCAATAGCTACAGAGTTTATGAGCCCCATAGGCAACACCTGTGTGACCAGGTGCCAGCCGGTTCCCGTACAGGACGCTGGGAGGGCCTCCGGAGGAACCTCCCTTGCGAACCCCATGTACTTCCACCAGGAAGCTGGGGTACGGAACAAATAGAAGAAACAGCGAATATCCTCTGAAGAAGTAATTAGAAGCTGATTGTCATCCAAGATGATCGACGACATGCCCACAACACTAGGTAGAGTCGACGTGTCACCAACCAAGCTCCTACAACAACCATTTGTGGGGACCAGGTTCACGATAAGGCGGCATACCTCAAAGCGTTGACCATCTGCCCCCACCGCTGTTTCCTGTTTGCTAACAGCGAACAATCCGTTCAGTAAAGGACGATCACCCACACGGTGTAGTTCGGAGACATGCATCACCCTGCAAACACCCCGACGCAACAACCCCGAGCAGACCTCGGCCCAGTGGCTCTGCTCCACCATGATCGAAGGGGTGCGTCCCATCTGCTGGTCCTGAGGCGGCAAAAGAAAGCTTTCGAACTCCCTGACATAGTTGAGGGTCCCCCCGTCACAAAAGGTCTCCAACTCTAAAGACCCCACAGCCTCTGGCATGGCTGCCTCTACCATCTTCCACTGAAACGAACGGGCCACCTGAACCTCCTCACCTGTATAGTCCACGGTCTTGGACTGGAATAGTTTGTGGAAGTCCAGCTGGGGCAAGGGTTCCTCCAAAAGATCCGAATTCAAAACCACCTGATTTACCCTCTCTGACAATGATCTTCGAATACCTTCTTCTCTTGCACGTGTCTTACTTTTGGTTCCATACAACAAATTCAATGCACGAATCATCGCATCCGAGTTTGGGATTCTTCGACCGTGTAGCCCCAAGTCACTAGCAAGCGGCAAGGGAAACAAGTCCCTCTTGGTCTGGCTGCAACGCTCTAATCTAGTTTCAACCACTGCCAATGCCCCAGACAACACTGTACCCAACTCAGCAAAGCTAATGTCCTTTTTTCGACAACACGCTTCAAGTGCTATGCGGCACGGCTCAAAGGCCAGTCGCCAACTTGTCTCCGTGCTGTGCGAGGTGTCATAGGCGATCTCGCAACGGCCTGCGTCAAACTGAAGCCGCTTGTCATCACCATCCTCAAATTGGGAGGCACCACACGTGTCCATCTCCCTTCCTTCATGCATGCCACCCTGCAGCTTCAAGGGCTTCCAATGCGCTTCAACTCGACCAATGCACTGGGAGCTCAACTGCGGTGACTTGGAAAAAACCAACTCCCGTCCACTCAAGTCCAGCTCGGCCATCTCGGCCTGTCCGCCTGACCCGGATGTCCGGGATGCACCCTGGTCTAAGGCAGAACGCGACGTGCGCTCTACCTTCTCCCTCACACACTGCCTTTTCGCCCAGTCTCTCCTCTGTCTCAACCCTCTTGCCTCACTTTCCTGTAGCAACGCATCAATGCACCCACTCTCAACCTCTGTCAATGAATCCTCACCCAACTTTGCACCTGCATCCTCCCTCTCTCTCAACCTCTCTTCTATCTGATCCTGTTTCCACCTGGGGGTGTTATCTTCTTTGGCAAGCGCTGTCATGGCTTCTCTTTCTTCTTCCCCTTGCCTTTCCCTTTGCCTCCTTTGTCTCCCTTCTCACGCCCCTCAGGTGGATCAGATCTTCCTTTGGCTTTTCCCCCCTCTTTGCCGATTGCATTGTAGGGCCGCTGCACCGCTGTTCTATTTCGCGCCTCCTCACGCGCCAAGCGAGCTGCTTCTGCTCCCTCCGCACCTTGTGACAGGCCCACAGAGTCCGCTGACACCAGTTCTAACTGGCGTGCTACGCTCCAATGAGCGCCGCGGGCCTGTTGTTCTAGGGCCTTGAACCTCTGCGATAACAGGTCTATGGCCTTAGCCGGATGTCCTCGCAGCAGTAGATCAGCCGTCTGACTGATCGTAAGAAGCTCTTGCCCCATTGAAGGCGACACCAAGGCATGGAGCTCCGCCCTGTAGTACTGGGTGTAGAGCGGGGGCAGGGATCTTCGGTCCACCGAATGTAGCGTGCCTGCGCTCGTCAGGAGCAAATCCTTCATCCCCGCTATGGTTTGAGCACCCAGACACCCAGGGTACCGCTGCGTCAACCGCAAAGCCCGCTTTTTCTCAGCAAAAAGCCCTTCTCCTGTCTCATCAAGCTCTTCTTCCTCTGAGGTTTGGCTTCCGGTGGAGCTGGAGTAGCTCGACGAATGCTTTCTCTTCTTTCCTTCCTTCTTCCCTAGCTTCCGGGCCTTTCGGAGAAGTCTAGAGCGATCGTCGAAGCGGGGGTCCAGACAGGTTCCCCCAAAAAGGCTTTTCAAGCTTTTCTGCCCTCTCTCAGGCAGCATCTCATCACCACTGTCCGCCTTCTCTGACTTGTCCTTCGCCTGCTTCTTCTCCTTCTCCTTCAACTTCTTTTTCTTCTTCTTCGCCTTCTTTCCTTTCTCATCCTCTGCGCTGGGAGAAGGTTTCTCCCCTACCACTCCTCCTGCGCGCGAGGTGTAATGCTCTCTCAACTTTGCCAACTCGTCACGCTCCTCCTCAACTGGGGTTGTCAACTCCAACATTGTATGCCAAGGTTGCCTGTTGTCTCCCACCTCCCAATAGCCTGAGGCATGTAGGATATCTGGGCCTGTAGGAGTACGCCGGCAATCCTTCGGGCATATGTGCAGCTGGAAAACACGTCGGCCTGGGTCGCTCACAACGTCAACGAAACGCTCAGTCTGAGTGCCTGCTACTTTGAACTCGAGGTAGTCCGCATCACGACCCAAGCCTGTGATGTAACCGGCCACCTTTACAAGCCCATCGTAGTAGTACCCATAAGCGAGCTCCACCAAACCCAGGCCGCGCAGTTGTGCCGCTGTAAGTTCAAGGAGGTAGGTGAACTTGTCGGTCTTTACTGCTTCACCAACGTCACCTGCTGGCTTCCTCCTCAAAGCGGGAGCGCGAGAGGCTGGCCGCCGGCGGACCGACATCACCACCACCTATTGTCGTACTTTTCTTGTTTGGCCCTACGGGTGATGCCCTTGTTCTTCCCCGTGTACCAACGGGGATGGGAGCTATACGGCACCGGGCCGATCCACCCTCGTCCACGTCCCCTGGCCAGCGGGGGGCGACTGGTGTCCCGGGCCGGGACTGGCGGCGGGTCTGGTGGTGGACCTGGCGGGGTGTGAGGGCTCTTGGGCCTCGGTGGTGTGGGTAGCCGCTTGAGGTCCTTCTTCTTCGCGGCTCTCACTCGGGAGCCCGAAACCGAGCTATCTCGGCTCGTTGACCTGCGACGCCTCTTCCGGTCCCTCTTTTCCTTCTCCCTGCGCCTCTTCTCCTTTTTCTTCCTCCGCCGGGAAGAAGAGCTTGTTGAAGACGGACTCTTGCTCTTCTTCTTCTTCTCTTTCCTCTCCTCCTTGGTCGTGGGAGTCTCTTTTGACTCCCCTTTGGAACTGTCAGCGGCGACTTCACTCGGCTACCTCACGGGGGGTGTCAACCAATGCCTTGGGCTCCGCTTTCTTCTTCGCGTAGAGCCCTTTGCTAGGGGATCGGCCTCTGGATGCACCTCGGGGTGGTTGGCTGGGTCGAGGAACGGCTCGGTTTTGGGAGGTCACACGGTCTCCTCCCCTATCGTGGGGGCTCGAATGGACGGGCGGTGCCTTTGGAGGGGGTGCTACTGGTCGGTGAGGCTTCTCCTGGGTCTGCTTGTCTCTGGGCTCTTCTCTTCTCTTTAACGGGCTTCTTCCTCTGGCGCTTGAAGCTTGTGGATGGGAATCGTCCTCCTTGGCCTCGAGTTCACGAAGTTTCCCTATCCACTCTTCCAGGAGGCTGTGACACTCCTGCAAGAACACAACCGCAGTTTCGTCTCTTTCTGCGGAGACTACGCTTCTAAGCGATACCTGCAGTTGCCAACCTCTCCTGCACGGCTCGCAGATGGAGAGTTCGGTACTTCGAACCACGAAGTGTTGGCAACGCTCGCACTTTGGGAGGGGGTCTTTGGGACCCCCTCCCATCCAAATCCTTTAAGAGCCCGATGCTACGGTGAAATAAGATGAGTTCTGTGCTTAATTATGAGGACATTAATCCATACACATAGTTTTAGTGTTCTTTTCAAAAAGGGTTAAGAGTGATGGGCTCCAACATAAGAGCGATGGACTCCGACCTAATAGCAATAAAGGAATATACATATATAATAATAAGAGTTACAATATCCAACAGGTGTGTGCGGAAGCCGCTGAATGTCTGCACGATTGCTCTCCCTTAGTGTCTGACCTGCTGAACATGGCTCTTCGCGGCGAAACTTGAAGTAGCCTCACACGAGCCAAAACCACCAAAGCAATTATGCTTGTAGTAGCTTCTTAGTAAGGCCAGGAGCCCCTAGTAGCGTCCTTGCTCCTAGTAGCGATGCCAGGAGCCCCTAGTAGCCTCTTGCTCCAAAGCAATTATGCTAGTAGCCTGTAGCTTCACTAAGTCGCAGGGCACATCAAACACACCATGCATTCAGGCAATCCTACGTCACAACTTGCAACAACTTTTGTAGGTATCTGACCCAGCAATGAAGTCATTTGATGCAATGTTCGCTGCCCAAAAACATCACTGGGGTGGGCACTTGAAGTGGCAACAATACACACAATCGGAAACATACACGCATGGTGCCGGGATTCTCTCTTTGCATCTATGAAAGCCCGTCATGCCACAGATGGCCTCCAACCTACTGGCGATGGCCTCCTACCTACTAGCGATGGCCTCCAACCCAGAAGCAATGGCCTCCAACCTAATAGCAATCAAAACTTAGATGATGACCTTCCTTTGACCTTTCTGACGATGGTGAAGGCTTGGAAGGCATGCAGCCATGAAGTGCGCAAACCCTTCTTTTTCAGTGTGTGTCCTTTCTTTGCTTTTGATATCCTTTTCCTTTAGACTTTTTCCATTCTGTCTTTTACCTGTTTGAACCCGTTGAGTTGAGTTCTAATTCCCTTTATCCTGGCCTCTGGCGAACTTGCAGGGGTCGGGAGGCAAGCAACGTCTTTGGTCTTCGTTGCCTGCCGAGGCACAGACTGGTAGCCCGAAGCGCTGAGGTCTTGGATTATGTTTCCATGCGAAGCTGAAAAGCAAACCCACTAGTAGCTTCTTGCTCTTAGTCCTAGTAGTAAGGCCAGGAGCTACTAGTAGCTTTTTGTTCCTAGTAGCGATGCCCTAAAATCAAACCAAGCCCAAGATCCTGTTCGCAAATCAAAGGTCTCAAGACCTCACTCAAACTCTAGGAACCAAGGGCCAAGCCAACCAGAGACTTGCCATCCCCACGCGCAGCCTCAAGGGTTGCTGAACTTGAAATGAACAAAATGTGCAGTAACATGCCGTAATCCAACATGGACAGGAAAGAGTAGACAAGGTTTGTGACAACCAGATCATGTCTGCTAACACCCATGCGCTTTGGAATTCCCCCGTCTGAGAATAATGTCAAAAGTGCACAAGAAAAACACAATAGCAAAGTGAACTCATGCAACAAGAAAACATTATCTATCGCTCAGGCGAGCAACAGGGCGTGGCAATAGTGAACCTGCTTGAAACAGAGCTAAGTGTGCAAACATATGCCATTTCATGTTTCCGAAGATATTATAGTAAACATCCTAAGGGGCGAGAGGAAGCCTGTGCCATGGTGTTCATCATCTTCCACCGGACAATGTGCAGCCTGAAAAATTGAGTTGGGAACACAACGAACAACAAACTCTTTCAGGATGTTCTTCAACTCTTTCACAAACAAATGTTCGTCAGACTCGCACAGCTTCAATCGTCGGTCCACATCCCGCTGCATAAAGACCGCCTTTAACACAAGATCCCAAACCAAAGACAAAGTTCAAGATTTTAGGATATTCGAGGTCATACCGTCATACCAAAAAACTCATTCATTCTCAGCAGCAAGGAAGCCTGCCGATAGCGAGTCCAAGCTGGTGCCACATTGCCGGCAAAGACCCTGCAAGTGTCACATCAAATAGCTGCTATAGTATAGGTGAGGCACCAAGACAAATCTGGGATGTCTGGCTTTCGCAAGGCACGGATGAGGGGCAACCTGTCAGTCTGTCAGTACAAACCTACCATTGTATCTTCATGTATCTTCACACTTCACTAAAATTTTCTGGACGATCAAACATGCCAGCAAATCTTGTTTCTCAGTCGCCGTCCATCACGAACCGACGCCCTGTGGGGCTTGGTGACTGCATAGACAAGGCATGACAAGGCCATTGTTCAACCAAAAACACACCATTTGGGTACTAGGCTGATGAAGTAGGTCTGCCTATTGGGAAAGTCAAAAACTACAGTGCCTGTGCCATCTCCTCAATGCCAATATCATCTGGCTTCGAAGGCAAAGCTCAGCCTTCTTGCGAGCATTATGAACATAGAAGAGCCAACATCTCCAGGGCTTTTGGACGGCTTTTGTAGCAAAATAGCGCATTGCAAGAGCACTGAGACGTCCAACAATAACGGAGTCATGCCACCACTCAGAAGGCGGACCAAAAGTGGACAAGGCGACACCCAACCCATCAGTTCGTTGGCTATCGTGAGCCAACCTCGCTCGATGAGACTTGGGAGGGTTGCGCACCACCTCAAACTGGTCGTCGCTTTCTCCACTCAACGAGAGCCCATCAAGTGAGGCCTTGGAGTCTGCCTGAGAAGGCATGGAATAGCGGCCCTGCCGGGTGCTGATCCTTTCTATCTCAGACCTTCTCTGATCTCTTTGCGCTCTGAATCCTTGGAGGTGATCCAGATCATCTTGAGAAGCATCTTCCCTAGCCTTCACAGTCCGGACAGGTTCGGACACACAAAGCCGCGGTGGATCTGGTGGAAAGGGTCGTGGTTGACCTGACCGCCCAGGGCCGCCAAGGGATGCACCAAGGGACGGGATTGAAAGTCCTGGCGCGACCAACCGACTCATTTATCACCGCCCATGATGTGTTTCTTTGCACATCAGCTAGGCTGACATGGAAGGTAATGGAAGATATTGGAACTGTTCCTTTGCTGATTGTCTTCATCTTTTGATCTTGGGAATGCTGGGTCTTGTGTCTATTCATGTGTAATGTGTCTATAATGCTGATTAATGTTGTATGTAACATGTACATACAGTATCCAAATAATTGAAAAGAATGTTCAACTCTATACGGACCAGTATTGTGCATGCTCCGACAAAACTTCCTGGAGCCCGGGATCAAGCAAGCATCTCCATCAAGCCAAATTTTAGAAAACCTCTATTCAATCTTCATTCGGGAGGCATGGCCATGCCATGGCCCAGACTTTGCCACATAATATATCCAAACAAATAGCTGTTGAAAGGATGAAAACCATCTGTGTAGAGCTGTCTTGTCGCCGCTTCATACTGCCTTAGCCTTTGCGTATACCCCCAACTTAGAAGCCTTTGTTACTAGTAGCTTCTTGCTTCTAGTAGTAATGGCCTCCAACCTACTAGCGATAGCCTCCAACCTGGAAGCTCCCCTCTTGCAAAGTCCATAACAGGGTTTGTCCCGCACTTTTGGCAAACATTCACTAACTGCCCTCGGCCGGTTCTGCTTGCTCTCCCTGTTCTCTGCTCCTTCTGCTCCTATTCTATTCTTGCTGCCTCCTGCCTTCATCTGCACAGTTCCGTTTTCAATATCAAGCTTGAAAAGCATTCTGAAATCATGTCAATCATTTTGAAAAGCTCGATGTCAGTGACGACTCGCATGCTTTGAGGCCTGCACGACCTGGGAGTGGACCCCCAACGTTCGTGGGGTGACCTTTTGATTCTTGTGTGGACCGCTAGTAGGTTGGAGGCCATTGCTATTAGGATGGCAGTTTGTGAGAGTGAGGACGGGACAAGGATGGCCAGGATCGGGACATGGAGATCAGACATAGCACGATTCATGCTCTGTCCATGACTACATTCAGGCGTGGCAGTGGCAGTGAAAGGATGTGAAAGGTGAATGTTTGATGGCGTTGAGCTTTCTAGTATATAACTAGAAGCCAGTAGGTGGAGGCCATTGCTATCAGGTTGGAGGCCATCGCTACTAGTAACAATAAAGCTTTCTAGATCTTTCTAGTATGTCTTCGAAGCTACTAGGTGTTGAGGCGTGAACGAGTCCGAAGGAGAAGGGTGCACAGGTTGCAGCGGTGGCACCGTTGCGTTCCTTTGTTTCTTAGTGAAAGTCCACTCGGCTTTGGAGTCTGCTTCCATCAACTTAAAACTCATCTTTGCTTCACACTCGACCCTAAGAAGAGGGTTGACCGCTATGTTGGCAGGTTGTGGCACTAGTGCTTTGCAACTTGCCAGTTTGATCACGGCCAGCGTCTCAGAAGTCATTGCGACTTGCATTTCACGTCCTCAAACCAAAGATTTGCCACAGCTTTATCGTCATGCCTTTTCTGTGTCGCACAACTGTCAACCAGAAAGGTGGGGCAATCAATCCTTTCGTCGACGTTGTTCGGAGACCTCAGTTGGTCGATCTGACAAAGATTGATTCAAAGGTCTTGCTGTGCCTTTTGTTCCAAGGAGAACGCTGCTAGGAACATTATGTACCCCAAGGAAGCAAGACTCATCAATGTTCCTGCAAACACTTAGAGGAATTCACAAAGGATGCTGTGCAGTCCAAAAATATCACATCAGCCAGCTACCGTCTATCTATGTGATGCGAATGATGCCCCACAAGCCTAGCAGCACCTTGATTGTGAACAGCGAGTCGCTTTCAACAACCTGCAACAATTTGATATTTGGTTTGGCATCCAACCGTCATGACATTGGTGTCCTCAGCATAGAAGTGATCTGTATATGGTTGTCAATGCCAAGTAGCTGCTGGAGATTCAAAGCCAGGCATTGAGCTGCTATCACTGCATGGCAAAGCTTGAATTGCTCTCAGAGTCTATATTATACAATTGATTATGTATACTTCTACTGAATGAGCCTGAATGGCATCAGCAAGCTTGGTCACCTTTGACAGCTAGCTTTATGCATATCAGCACTTTTATGTTTTGACAATAAACGATAAATGTGTTCATCTTTGAGGGGTAGCCATACCATGAAACAAATAACGACGTTGAAAGGATTGGGACGTAGATACATTGTCGATTGGGAAGGTCAGATTCGCCAAGTGATATCCTTGAGGAAAATCATGTTCGTATGTTACCCTTAAGCCATTCTCATATTCCACCAACATTGTCTGTATGACAGTGCCACATTGGAAGACCAAAGTCTGCTGACAACCTTTTGCAAGAGCTGGATTGAGCTATGCTGTGATGATGTGCAAAACACTGTGATGCTCTGGTGATCCCCATTGCAGGGAAGAACCCGTGGGTTCATTGGACAGTGTTCATCAAACACGAAGGTGAGGGAGATCCCGCATCCAGCCGGTCCAGGCGAAAGACGGTCAAAGGAATTGCACGGTCTTGGCCTCCGTTCATTTGAAGAAGGAACAGGGGGAAGGAACATGGGTCTCCAAGACCAGCAAGTTGGCGTTTGCAATGGGGTGCACGGGTTTCCACAAAGACCATACAATGCCTCCAAAAGACTCAAAATTGTCCCAATGGTCTTATCACGTATCTACTTTGAAGACTCCCCAATGATTTCGAGAGTTGCTGTATTAATCTTGTTGGATTTACAATTACAAGTTCTCATCCTTCATCAACTCTACATATAGCTGTGGTTGCTGCTTCATGCTGCTCCTCTGAACTTCCGATTCAGTCGGAGGTGTGCGCCGGTCTGTCCTAGCCATCTGTCATTTGCGTTTGTGCTAAGTTGCACTATATATATCATTGCGACTACTCTACTAGAATCGCTCGAAGCTTGCTGGTCCAGAGTCCAGACTGCAATCACGTGTCACAAGCTGGCAAGTGTTCCATATTGACTGAGCTTGACATCTTTCGATAAACCCCTATGCTAATGCAAGCAACGCGCAAGACTTATTTTGCCAAAGTCTCAAGAGAAAAAGTTATCTATCTCCCCAAGCTTGTCAAGTGGGATATCGCACTGCTTCTTGTCGTTTGGAGTGTCTGCTGCACAGCGTAGGTCCTTGATACGAACTTCCCCTCGTTCCCATTCATCTGGTGCCACGAAGGCAATTCTAGAAGCGCCCACTTTGTCCGCATATCGGAAGGCCTTCTTCACCTTTCTGGCTGCCTCTGGGTAGACATCAACACTCTTGCCCGTTTGCCTGAGCCGTCGTGCAACATTCATTGCCTTTCCCATCATATCAGCATTGTATGCAGCCACGACCATATCTACATTGGGACCTAGTTCTGGGAGAACTCCTCGCTCTTTCAACAACTCCATCACCACGCAATCCCCAAAGCCAAAGCCCACACAGGGGACTTCTTTCTTTGAGCCATACAGCTCCAGCAGTTTGTCATAGCGCCCACCGCCGCATACAGCACGCAAAACACCAGCTTTGTCAAAGCCTTCAAAGACCACACCAGTATAGTAGGCTAAGCCCCGAACCACAGAAGCATCAAACTGCAGCCAGTCAGCAAAGCCATAATCTTCTGCAAGAGCAAAGAGGCGCCGCAGCTCCTGCACTTCGGCACTTTCGCCAACTCCGGCAATGTCGGCAAACTCCTCAAGCGTCTTGGCCCCGGTCGCTGCGACAATAGTATCAGCCACCTCTGTCGACAAACCAACCTGTTTGGACAGCTCCTGTTTCACAGCATCCGCACCGATCTTATCCAGTTTGTCAATGATGACACAGGTCTCTGCAAACTTGTCAGACGTCACCCCCGCTGTGTTTAGCACGGCACCCAGAACCTTGCGAGAGTTGATTCTCAGCCCGACATCTTTGGACGTGATGCCGACGTTTTCGAAAAAACTAACTACTGCTGAAAGGAGCTCGGCTTCAGCCGTGACCTCGGATACACCTACAATGTCCATATTCCATTGATAGTGTTCCCGCTTCCTACCTCTTTGTGTGGTTTCAAAGCGCCAGCACTGAGGAATGGAGTACCACTTCAGGGGAAGCACTGCAGCAATGGCACCTGTCTCTGCTCGCATTAGCGACAGAACCATCCTTGCAAGCGAAGGTGTCATCTCTGGTCGAAGGGTGACCGCTGCACCTTCTTTATCCCGAAAATTATACATCTGCTCAGTAATCTCCTCCCCAGCCTTGCGTTTGTACAAGTCTTCATGCTCTAAAACTGGAGCATCATATTCTTGGAAACCATACGATTGCGCCGTCTCTCGAAACCGATCAAAAAGCCACCGTTGCATCCGCATTTTCTCAGGGAAGAAGTCACGTGTGCCACTGGGAGGGTCCAAAGTGAATCCGGCATCTGGCTCGTCGTTGCTCGGATCAGTTTTTTGGGAGATTGCTCGTCTTTGCACATGCCTTGGCCTCAAGAGTGTTGATCCTGAGAAGGCAGCCATCAACGCAACAGTTCTCCAAGATCGATGCAAAGCTTCATTGGCAAATGCATGTGAAGCCGTCGTGACAAAACCTGAGTGTCTTCTAAAGGGGAAGAGAGAAGCCGTGTTCGTTAGAGAGAAGGTGTAGCTTGAGACACCGAAACTCCAACTGCCAGCGCCCGCAGCCGCCAGGACTCCGAACAAGTTCACTCGGAGATGCCGCCATTGCGACGCATTCATGGCAAGTTCTTGCCTTTCAAGCAAGCTGAGCCCAAAACAGGGTTCTGCTGCCCAAAAAGGGTAAAGTTAACTAAACGACTGCTGCAAGGACACAAGAGTCTGCTGAAAACTGTTCAAAGAAACAATTGTCCCAGCACATGTTTGATTTTGCACTGTGACATCCTCACACACCCGAACAAAAAGTGTATGTAGGCCTTATCATTGATGCAATGTCTTTTCCTATATTTGTCTGGCCAACGAGAACCTACACAAGAAAACGTGTTATAATGTTTAAAATCAGCAAGGCGGCTGGTTTGCTCCCTACAAGTATGAGTGGATGGATGTGAAGCTGGGAAAAGCTGAGGGACAAATCTGCATGCTTCGGGCACGTCTTGCAACCTGGGGTGGATCAGGACCGGGGACAAAAAGCACACGGTTTTGCAGAAGATGCGCAGACCGTGTCCATGGAGAAGGCGGCTAACTGGGGTGAGTAGGACACAGGTGACAATCTTGAAGGCTGTTGTTGTGATTTCGCTCAAACATGGCGGTGGCGTCCTTGCGGTGGTCACTGGTTTACAATGCTTGTGATTTGAGTCTTTATGTTGACTCTTGATTTATAAACTCCCCCCCCTCCCTCAACAGCCAAGGCCTCCAAAATAATGTATAAGAAAATCAGTTGATAATTAAATAAGGAATCCTTAGCTAGCTACCTCTGGAGCTACTCTGGCAATATTAAAATAAAAGGAATCAAGAAACCTAACTTTGAAGACATCTGAAATATTACTTACAATAAAAGGGAATTAATCAATGCAAATAGAACTAACTGTTTAAATTTCAATGGACATCTAAATCCAAAGACCTGCAATTTCAATGGTAATTAAAGCAAATCAAAAGGCAAAGAAAAGGAATAAAGATTTAAAGCCTC